TTTTTTTTTTAACGAACAGCTGTGGCTAAACTGATAATGTAATATAACTACTGTACTTACATTCATCCACATACATGGCATTGCACAGGATTTTTCAATCTTCAAAAAATATGATTTTTAGAATAAAGTCAATTTAAGTGGTTGTTTCCAACCATCAACAAATCCAAAAGGAGAATTTATAGGTATTTTAACCATTTTTTACATTTTTATTGTTCCAGTTGCATTGTTTTTCCCAGGTAAATTTAGAAGACAGACCAGTGCCAATTTTGGAATGGGAAAAACCATTATTTTCTTTTAGAAATCTCTTCCACATGTGTATATTTTCTGGTTATTTTTTGCTGCATTGTACCATAATTTGAAAAGAAAGAAAAGCATGCGTGCAAAGGGTATGCTGGGTGTGTGACACCAATGAGACAATGTATTTTTATAACAGATAATATATATTTCAGTAATGTCTATAATAGAATATTTATAAAATTTTCAATTCTTTTCTTGTATTTATGAACGTTTCGTTACAGTAAGACAATAAAATAAATTGGAAAGTGCGAAATGTGTTGTAGTTCTTCCTGGGACTGGGTGCATTCTGAGAGGTTTGACCGTTTTATTGAAGCGTAAAATATCGTAAAATTCTGAATAGACCCTGAACGATGCGCGTTTGATAAGAGTATGTCGTTAAATTAACTCAAATCTACGTTTGCAATGGTCGGATTAAAACTGAAGAAAACGGAAAACTACAAAAGCTTTACAGTCGCCGTAAAAATTAGCAAACATCCTTTTTACGAATTTTTACAATAGGCGTAAAGATCGCCTTTCGAAACACTTTACAATCACCGTAAAATATCGTAAACATTTGCTTTACGATTTTTTACAATACGCGTAAAGAAACCGTTTATAGTCTCATTACGTGATCTTTATATTCAACCGTTTACATCGCGTAAAGACTTTCTTTACGAAAGTCTAAAGAAGCTCGTAAAGATAAGTAAAGAGGATCTTAACGCTTTCTTTACGACGTCTTTACGGAACCGTAAATTCAAAATTTCATGCTGTGAAGGGGAAGTGTCGAATGGCATAAATAAATAGATCTCCATGAAAACAGTAACTTAATATCTGGTAATATGCATTTTAGCCCCCTCTTGTGAAGTATCTGCGTTTTCTTCTTCGGAAGGAGATCCCTCCTACAGCGATTGTCAATAAAAACTACCTTTTTCCACAATAGCATGTCATTCTCTCTTATAACTTCTGAAAGGTCTAAACTCGTTTCTATAACCATACTTCTGTGCGCGACTACAAGATTTATCGAGTTGCGGGAGAAATTCACACTCATTGGCACCTCCACACATTTCATCGGCATATTTAAAAGTGGACATGATAAGGCCATAATAACAGTAAGCGTAATTTCTTGCAAAGAATTCCATATTTACAAACTCTTTAGATAAATGATCTGGAGCTAGTCTTACTAATCATATGTTCGAAATATGTTCCAACTACACAGATGCTCATTCAAAGTTACCCCCAATAGTGTGAGTTCTTCCTTCCTTTCATTGCCACAGATTGGTTCAGGGAGTGGTTTGATGGTCTACACACGAACCTCCATTTCCCAGTTTTTTTTTTTTTTGAGGTTTAAGGTCATTCGATTTTCAGCAGCCCAACTTTGCATGCTTTGGACTTTGTCTATGGATGAATCAAAGTCACTGGATCTAACAGGAACACTTAGCGTGATTTCATCAACAAACTTCAAAACTTTTTAACTTTTAACTTTTGAGAAAGCGGATTTTAAGCTGGATCATACGCGGCCGTGATATTGTTAACCATAATATAGAGCAAGACTGGTCCCAAAACTGTCCCCGGTGAGACTCCTTAATTGATATCGACAAAATTATTCGATAATCCCTCTGCAAGTGTATCGGCCTGGCAAGATTCATCATAGCATAGATATCATAGGATAGATAAAGTCAGCTTAGAAACATTTTACCCTCATGAAGATATTGGCTCTTGACGCTTGGCGCAGCAATGTCTTATCAAATCGATTTTGCAGTTGTTACTCTCCATCATAAGCTAGAGTGTATTCTTGTTTA